TTTTTCTCGTCCACACCTAAATGCAAAAATGGAGTTTTCAAAAATATCCACCCTGGCCGGAGTTTTCAAAAATACCCGGGTACGTGTGGACATAGCTTCAGTTTTTATATCAAATACATCTGCAATAAATTGACACAGTTTTAGCCTCCGTATCACAATCATTATTTGTAAAGTAGACTTTTGTAAATTGAAAGAAAACCAGTACCATACAGTAGAAAAATTCAAAAGTATGATATTAAACAAGGACAAATGAACAACAACAACAAAAAGCTGACAGTTTTTAAAAAACATAATGGATGACTTCCAGTTTTAATTCAAAGAATGTAACAAAAATATTGCATTAATTGTCCATTCACTTTCTACAGTTATCCATTGAAGCGGGGCTGGAGCCTATCCCAGCTGTTATAGGGTGAGAGGTGGGGAACAACAGATTGACAACCCTGGACAGGTTGTCAAGCTGTCAGCCAATTAACACAGAGAGACAGATGGCCACCCACACTCGTGTGTGTGTGTGAGCTCCATGGTGGTGGTAGCACTATTGCCTCACAATAAGAAGGTCCTGAGTTCTAAACCAGTCTGTGTGGAGTTTACATGTCCATGTCTCCCTGTCTCCTCTGGGTACCAGCTTCCTCCCACAGTCCAAAGACATGAATGGATTTGGGTTAATTAGTGTTTCAAAACTGACCACAAGGCGTGATTTAGACTTCTGTGGGGAATCATGCAGTGCCTACAATGTAACCTAGTAAGTGGCAGACGTTGTTGCCAGTATTTATGCTTGTGCTGGACAATTATATTTTTTTCCCTCCTGGGACTCTTTGTTGCGGTGGGGTTTTGGGGGGCAAACATTTGTCCTTCTTGTTTTTCCGTTTCTTACTACATTCACTAATATCCGTTACGAAAGTTTCAGCAGTCTCCCTCTAGGAATTTGCTGATGTTTATAAGTCTTTAGATCGGTGTTATTATTTTTTCCCCCTATATTGAGGCAATGGTCATTACTCGATCACTAATAAATTCAAAAACTGCCAAGAAAAAGCCAATAAATGCACAGCAGTAATCAGTCATTGTGTAGTTATATTTCTAGTTAGGATGTAGCAGCGGTTATGTGCACAGATTCCCCACCAAAACATAAATCCCCAGCAAGTGTGAATGTAAGTGAAAATTGCATTAACTGGCTGGTAATTACACCCATTTTTTAAACGGTCTCTTCATTACTTGCGGCACAGAAGTAGTTGGACATTTGAATAGTAAGCTGCTCCATCAGCAGGTGTGGTTCCCGATTGTTTCCTCATTGTTTAAAATAAATCTGGAGCTGACTCTGGGGTTTGACTTTGCATTTGGTAGCTATTCATATGAACTCTTAACTAGACCAAGGTGTGGTCAGTGTAAGTCAAGTGTGGGAACAGAAAGGCCAATTTGAAAGAAAAACAAAAGGCCGTCTAGTTCTGGCATACCGAATTTGTACCAGGAAGATGTTAAGAGAAAAATAAACATATACAAAAGGCAAGGAAGAGCTCATACTACATCCTCTTTCAAAATGACATGGCATGTATGTTTGCCAGAGGAACTGGTTCACTAGTGTTTCTAGATGAAGTGACTGTTGAAGCAACAGGATGAATTTTTAAAACGTATAGCTTACACTGTGCTGAAAAGCTGCAAGACTAAAAGGCTGGTGCTTTACAGTGCAGATGGATAATGACCCAAACCCCAAAAGTTGTTTAAGGCAATGAAAGGGAATGTTCTTAAATGGCAGAGTCACTCACATGACCTCAGCTGAGTTGAGATGCCTTTTAGTGAAAGCAAAGCTGAAAGCAGAGAGACTCACAAACAAGCAGCAAAAGCCTGGCAGAGCATCTCGAGGGAGGACATGCAGCATTTAATGATGTCTGTGGAAAGGATTGCTACAGATTCCCATTTAAGTAATAATAATTATATTTATAATAATGCTAGTTTGTCCAATTACTTTGGCCTGTGTTAAAGGCAGGACTGTAAATTATTAAAGGTGAATGCAAAAAATTGATTTGCATCTTGACTGCTTCATTTTAAATCCATGAGTGTTGTACAGATCCAAAGTTAGGGAAAATAGCCTGACTGTCCAGACGCTTCTCTACCTGACTCCATAAAGAAGTTTGCACAGTCGGCAAAACCCTTTCAGGAACAGAGAGGTTGAAAAGGTAGTTGGACTATAAACAAGTGCAAAAGCAGCCTTGATTAAACAGACATTAAAGGATATAGTGGCATTTTCATGAACCGGAGCTTCATGTCCCGTGTTTACATTAAATGGAGCTTATCCTTCCACACAAAGCACTTTAGCCTAAGTGTTGTGGGCATAAAAGAAAGTAGGTGGAAATAAACCGTGAGACTTGGTCACAATGCTCACCTTGCTGTGAAAGTTTGGTGAGAAGTTGCAGACTTCAAAACAGATCCCTCACCTTCTATTTTTGTTTTTGCTCTTTGTTTCCTGCTCTTTTATTATGTAACCACATGCAGTTCTGCACTTTTCTTCTCTCTTTTCAGTGAAGACAAAAAATAAGGGCGAAGAAAGGTGCAGAGCTGCTCTTATTATACCACGATCACACACTGTTTAGTCAGAGAACCTTTCTGGTTGTTTATTTGTGTTAAATAAGATGTCTTTCATTATGTTTTATCTTTTTTTTCATTTGACAGGAGTTATTCGTTTTGTGTCAGCAGTAACAAAGCAGCTGAGATACACTGAGCAGATGTAGCTTTGTAATCGTACTCCTGCCCTGCTGATGATAATTTTTGATGACTTCTGTTTCTCTCCAGGCATCCAGGACTTTCCAGAGAACATCAAGAACTGCAAAGGCCTAGCAATCGTAGAAGCCAGCGTGAATCCCATATCCAAGTGAGTTGGGCTTTCCCTCACCTAACACATTTTAGTTTAATGTTCCCTATAAAGTTTGGGTTCCTAGTGTTCTTGCAGAGGCTTACGAGGCTGCTTGTGTGTTCTCATTCGTGTTCTTGCATTTGCATGTGTTATCAGGCTCCCTGAAGGCTTCACTCAGCTTCTGAGTCTGACGCAGCTCTACCTGAACGATGCCTTTCTGGAGTTCCTACCAGCCAGCTTCGGCAGGTCGGTTGCTTCTCTGGTTTGTCACACGCTGTACTTGATGGAGTCATGATACTGACATTTGAATTTCTAAATGCAGTCAAGTCATTAACAACTGCAGAAATGCAACACAAAATGATGCTAGCTCGATAAGATGACCCAGTAGAAGTGATTTTGATTCATACTGTGGGCTACACTTGTGCTGTGTGGCACCAGGACCAAGTACTAATTATGTCATGTCAACAGCACAAAAGTGATGCAGCGAGCATTCACAGACCTATTTGTCTGTCTATCTCTCAGACCTGGCTTACCATTAATTCATTAGCATTTACATTTAAGTCATACTGGAGAAACACACAGCTTTAAAAAATGATCACTTTATTTAAAATGATCATGTTGTCTTCTTAACATTTACTTACTATACTTTTCAATATATAGTTAGGCTACACAGATTATTAATCACTTTCATTACTTGCACGTTACACAAAAGTTAGTGTTGAGCCTTCTGAATGCAGAAAACGTGATGTGATCTGGTGCTGATTCCATCTTTATATTTCTTCCTTTTAGTACTAGTTCTATACAAGAGAAGATTACATCAGACTTTTTTGCTGTCATGTAACTGCACATCATAGCTGCTTAGTGAAAGATAAGCCGGCTGAGAAAATCATGGCTGCTAAGCTTCAAAAGCCATTTCACATAATATCCCTTTTGGGGAAAATCAACTAATTATGACAATGATTTTTCCTGCTTGCAGGTTGACTAAGCTACAAATCCTGGAGCTGAGGGAGAATCAGTTAAAGATGTTGCCAAAGTAGGTGGTTTTTATTTAGCAAACCTTCCAAATGTGAAATATGAAGAATGTTCATTTTAATTAAAAATAATAATAAAAGCAGAGTCTCTCTGAAATTCAGTCGCTTTATGAACTTTATGAAGATTTATTTTTTTATTTTTTTTAATCCCTACTTCCTCATTGTCCTCTTCCTCTTGCACCCCCTGCAATGTCTGTTCTTTATCCTTTGTTTTAATCATAGACTCTTTCTCTAAACCTCTAACTGTAGTATTAAATTCCACTGTGTTACATAAGAGTCCCCTTTACTTGGCCACTTGCGCTGACAGATTTTATAATCCTCTACTGAGACAGTGGTGAAGGTCTTTTTGCTATTTGAGAAGTGTGCTGTGAGACTGAATGTCCCACAGATATTAGAGAAAGCTCCAGGTGATTTTTGGGGGAAGTCACCGTCTCCCTGGTTGCTCTTTAATTTCTGTCACACTTGACTAGCTTTACCATCTTACCATCCTTAACGATACTTGCCATTTTTTCCCCTTCCCCCCTCTGTCTGAGTTTCCTTTTATAATCTCCCCTTTATTATTATTATTATTATTTTTTGCATTTATTTTTCACTGACTGATGTTCCAGCCGGTGTATAAAGTGCAGTACAGTCAGTGCCACAGCTCAGAGCAGATCCCTTTTTTCTGGCTGTGTTTATGTGACAGAGGCCAGACCTGTTAAAGTCTGGAGGCCTGACAAAGAAAGGGACTAATGATCGGGAGCGTTGCCAGTACAACACACAAGCATTTCAGAGATGTAAACAATGTGTGCAAAGGGGTGCAATAGAAGTCTTCTCAGGGCTTTCATGTAGAAGCTGCTCCCTCTATTCTCCATCTCTCTCCTCTGGTGCACAGACACACACTGAGCACATGCATAAACCAAGTGTTTTAAAGAAGGCTGCAGTGTTCCTCGCTCAGGGTCATAAGCCCCTTAGTGCTGTTTTTTTAACTGGTGAACTCACTTTCTAGATTAGCCAAAACAGCTCTTTCTCACCCTTTTTTAGCTGTTTGGTTTGGTGTGGGGAGAAACACCGTTCGTTCCTTGGTATCATTTCTGTCCCACAAGTACATTTCCACTAACACAGTTTTCACAGTGTCTTGGTTTGCTTTAGGGTTGGGATTATACTTTTTAATCAACTTTTATATTATATGGAATTGGGGATCCCCACATTGTGAAATTGACAGTCAGTGGAAATGTTTTATTTTTATTTTGCTTTTATTTGTGCGTGCGGGTGTCTGTGTACGTGCTACGTTTTTGTTTTTTGCTGCTGGCAGTAAAGGACAAATGTCCTCAAAGGTGTCTTGCTATTCGATCTGTGAGGAAAGAGTTGTTCTTAATCACTAATAAGCCTCTGAAAATATTTTATCTCCAGTTGTCTGTTGTGCTGTGGTCAGTTAAATCAGTGTTGTAAGCAGTGCGTGTTTACAGTGTAGGGGAGAATGTGAGCCTGTGGCCTGAATGTGAGAAAAAATTTGGAGCAAGGCTTAGGGCACATTTTCCATTATTTAGAGCATATTTCTATCACGCCTAAGCTCTAAAAGGTATTTATTTCCACATAAAATTATTCAGTGACAGGAGCGAAGGCGCAGCATGTGTGCTTTCCAAATCGAACAGCATGAAAACTGACTGACAGTGGCATAGAGGAGGAATTTTCTTATGGCTGTTTTTTTTTCTTCTTTAATATGTAAACCATGAAATTCATGTGTTTTTGTTGTTGTTGTTTTTGTTTTGTTTTTTATGTTTCCTTCTTGTGTGTCTGCAGAAGCATGCAGAAGCTCACACAGCTGGAGAGGTTGGACCTGGGGAGTAATGAGTTCACTGAAGTGGTGAGTATCTTTCAGTCAGTCTGTCACTGCTCGGGGCTCTCACCTCCTCCTTCCTTAATCTGTTCCCTGTCCTATTTTTGTTTTTTAAGCACATATGTCGAAATTTTTCTTTTCCTTACACTCTGAACCGCACATTTATACATGATAATGTGATTCATTTTTTTTTAGCTTGCTCACATCTACGTGCTTTCTCTTTTCTACATGTGCAGCCTGAGGTGGTGGAGTGGCTGACTGGACTCAAGGAGCTGTGGATGGATGGGAACAAACTGACCTTTTTACCTGGGGTATCATATACACTCATATTCCCGTTCAGTGACTGCTGCGTCTTAACACATCATCTTGAGATTATTTCCCTTGATTCTCCCCCAACCCCCCAAAACTGTGTGTCTCCTCAAGTCTTCATCAAAAAGAGCTGCAGTCAGTTTACATCAAACTTTGAGCTCTCTGAAACCAGCAGAGAGGGCTGCGCTTTGAACGCGATTCTGTCGTAGGATGAACTCGCACAACAAAATGCATAGTTTTGGGTTTGCATATGTCCCCCAGAAAAAATCAGCTATGAAAGAATTCTTATGTCCGTGTGTTGACAGTCAGGATTTGTTAAATGAGGTTCTTCTTTCATCCAAATGACCAGCTTGTTTGTAAGTGGGTCATAATTAAAGCATTAGTTCTGCTGCCAGCATTTCAGTAGCATCAGCTGTAATCACAATCTGGCCTTTTATAAGCCATGACATCTGTGGAGTATGAAACAAACCATTAAGTGTTACTGTTCTGCTAATAAAATGAGTGTTTTCAACCTAAAATAAGTGTGATATTGTCTCCCACTGTGGGATTATATTATGCCTGCATATATAGTTAGTTCACTTCACTGCAGAAAATGTTAGTTAACTGCTTTTTTGTGATCATTTTAATTTACTGCCACAGTCTGCATCTCATACTGCTGCATAAATTAAGGGTGACTTTTTATTTTATTTTGTGCAGATGTTGGGGACATTAAAACAACTGGTGTATCTAGACGTGTCGAAGAACAACTTGGAGATGGTGGATGAACAAATCCGCGGCTGTGAGAATCTACAGGACCTCCTGCTCTCCAACAATGCTCTCACACAGCTGCCAGGCTCCATCGGTAAAGATCTGTCTCTCACACACACACACACACACACACACACACACACACACACACCGTATTAGAAGACATGTTATGAAACACCTTAACTCTCTTTTTGCTGTTGCCAGCTTTTAAATCTTTCCAAGCCCTTCATCAGTGAAAAAGCCTCTCTTGTCTCTTTCTATGTCTCTTTTAGCACTTGCAGTGTGAGCCGACGGGACAGTACTACCACGAGACTTTATTTTTCTGTGTCATTTTCTGTAATAGAAACTGATCTATATATAATTGCAACAGAGCATGAAACTGATGTGCTGCATAATAACCTTTTACTTATTTTTCAGTATTCAGTTTTATTTTTGGTTTTTGATGAAACCAAATTATGCTAACAATATAAAACTGTAGTGAAGTACACAGTGAGATACTCATAACATATTGTGATGTCCGTAACAGAAGAAATACAATTATTCAAATATTTCTGCAGCTCAGGATTGCTTTCACCCAACCCTTATTAATCTCTAATGAATTAGGTTCCAATTACTCATGTATTCAAAATCATGTCACGGGTGTGAAAAATTTAGCAATATCAATGCAGCTTACTCATTTATGATTCACTGCGTCTTTTTGTTTAGTTTTTCTTTATGGACAAATAGAAATAAAACACCATATTCAATTTGGGTTACATTTGTGACAAGTTGTTAAGTGACCAGTAAAAATAAATAAATTGCTCAAAAATTAAGACCTGTATATAGAAACTGAAATTTAATATTATACATATTAAGAATAAACTTATTTGTGTAAAAAAAACAAAACTCCACAGGTTTTAAACCAATGTAAAGACAGACACATTGGCTCACAAAGGTAAATATGATTTAAACATGAAGTTAAAAGTTCTGTAAAATAAAATCATTGAGTACAATAATGTAGACTGATATTGGATGTTCTGGGCAAGCCTAAAAATAGCAACCTGGATCAGCAGTTATATTTTCTTCCAGCCATGAGGGACACAGTTAACTCAGCATTAAAGCCTCCGTCGCAACCGTAGCAACCATCTGGAAAATGTATGCGCCAGTTGGTGGAGGTTGCTGCCAATTGCTATGAAACCAGTGAACCCCATTCCATTCAATTTCAATTCAGTTTTATTTATATAGCACCAAATCATAACAACATTCACCCCAAGGTTATTTATAAAGACAAAGACCCTATAATAATAGGGAGAAACCCCAACAGTCAGATCACCCCCTATAAGCAAGTAGTTGGCGACAGTAGGAAGGAAAATCTCCCAAACAGAACGTGTCAGTGGCAGTGATGGTGCCCCATTAACCCTCAGCAGTGCAGAGCCCGACAACTTCTCTGTGCGACTGGGTGACAGACAGCTGACAATTGTGTTGGCTACTTTCTTTCCCTTTTTCAAATGTTAATTTTGACAAATAGGTGCCTTTTTTTCAAAATAAATTGTAAAGCTACATTTATAATATTTATTGACAGTCATAATTTTGAATGGCATACTTACTCCCATCCCTTTTCCAAAAAACAAGACTAATAAAATCCTTTAAATTCATGCAAACACTGCTGTTGAAATCATGGTTGATGACGACTCCTATAGGCATTACTGTATTGACAGTATGAATGAATCTAATTAACTGGTGTGTAATGGATCTTCCTCTTTGCTGCGTACCAGCAAGTGATAGTCAATAACTGATCTGAGCTGTTGTCGACGCCTTCCTGATCCTAGCTCTCTGTTCCTTTTTGTTTTAAAGGCACCCTGAAGAAACTGACGGCACTGAAAGTGGATGAAAATCAGCTGATGTACTTGCCAGATTCCATTGGAGGGTGAGCATCACAGCAATAGATTTGATAACAGCAGAGTAAACCCTGAGCTCAGTGGATTATTGTGTCGTGTTTTTTTTTTTTTTATATCTGGAATCCATTGATCTGATAAAATGTTTTTCTGGAAAAAGTAGATATCCCCATTAAAGAGAATGCAAACCCTGCTCGATTTGTTTTGGTCTCGCGCTGATGATCGGTAGCTTAGTAATGGCTATGGCTATAAAGAGTGGTTATGAATGTCATGTCTTTGAATCTGCCATAGCGATTTAAGGACACAGTTCATCCATTTGCTTCAGTGTGGAAGGGCTGCTGGTAAACACTGGTCTCATGACCCTCATAGGCAGTAATGATATGAAATCCTGTGTTACTATTCAGAGGTTTTTCTGCCTAATGTATACAGGTAAACCCTCAGTCGCCGGCTGCTGAGTACCGAGCCAGGTCCACACGCTGATCCTCTTTCTACTCTGAATCATTGACACACAGTTGACAAAGATTAGGTTCCATTTAAGCCATGCTTTTATTTTTTAATCCGTCCCCTCCAACATCCATGAGAAAGACAAATCTACATTAACTGATAAAAACAATTGTATCTGTGCAGTTTTTTATTACTGTTTTCAAACAACCTCAATTGCCCCTTATGTTAGAATGTGCTGCCTTATGTACTTTGACGTAGATTATGTGACAAAGCCTATGGTTTAGCTTAATCCCATGCAAGGGTTTTAGTTTAAGCAAGCTCATTTCCTCCCCCATTTATATGTAGCTGGTTTCGTTTTACTTTGCCACTTGTCCACTGGGGATTTTTGTTTCCCTGGTGTATTTTTAGTAGACAGGCATCAGATCCTTGTGGAGTTTCATGGTACTGTAGCATATGAGCTTTCTGGACGTGAGGCTGCTTTGCATTAATATGAAACCCAGCGTGCATTTACATTTTTCACTCAGCAAAATTCTGCTTAAATGATGTCCCATGAAATATTTGAGATTTGCATTTCCATCAGTCTATTTGTCTTTCACCGTCACTGTACAGTAACTTTGATCCAAAGTTGATCAGAGCTTTTCTTATTTAGTTACTTAGCTGTTCATTATTTAATAGTCTCTGTGAAGAATTTAAAGAGATCAGAATGCACTGACCGTTGTAAGCAATGAAACCAGATGCATGTGAGTATGCTTAACAAAAAGAGCCACCTAAATGTGGTAGCAGCGCTGTGTTCAGTTTCTTCAGCATGTGTTTGAAGCCCAGCAGCTGCCGTCTGAGAGCTTTTTCAGAAAGAGCAAAACTCCAAGTGAATCTTGTGCTAACATCCTAGACATTACATGGCTGTCTGCTTAACATCCTTCAGCCATCCTGAGCTTTCTAGTAAGTAGTAGCTTGCTTAGCTACAAATCTTAATATTGTTATTGAAGCCCTGTCCATTGGCCGTTCCTTTGGAGTTGATGTTGCTCTTGGTAATCTTCTTAAATATTTCCCACCCTGTTATGACTGTCTGTGGCAGTTTAGAGCTAAGATGGTCTTAATTTAGTACCTGCCCACTTGGTGGCGTTAATGGCTTTTTCACCTGTTAACAAATTGATATTGCAACAAGAGAGCAAAGAAATTGTAGCACGTAGGAACAATAATGTACCACAGACAGGGATC